ATGGCTAAAGTATCTCTTTCACAGTTCTCTTCTGTTGTGCGGTCACTTGAATTTAATTCCTCTATACTCCCAAATTTCCCAAGATTATTATTTATATTTGGAACTGAATCAGACATCATTTTATTAAGTGTGGTATCTTTGGAACAATTTTTTGGATCATTCTTATTAAATGTCTCTGTATCACCAAATTTTTCTAGATTATTATGAATATTTGGAACTGAACTAAGTTTGTTATTTTCTTGGCAGTTTCTTTGAATCTCTTCACTGATGGTTACTTCAGAGCCATGAAAACTCTGGTCATTAACAGTGATATGGCTGTCAGTGAAAGGAAATTTAAACAAAGGAAAAATGCTTCCTTTCTCTTTTAAATCCTGCTGCTTTTCAGAATGACTAAGAACTCTGAGAAATGGAATATGCAGTTTTCCACTGAAGGAAAAGGAATGTCCATCTTTCTTAGGAATCCTTTCCCATCTATCTTCCTCCAACGGGTGAATTTTCCTAGATTCTGACAAAGTTTCCTTTGAACAGTTTTCAGGGGAAGTGAGCAAAAACTGGCTAAAGGATCTTCTGAGTGGCTCAAAGAAATTATCATCACCAGTAACTCTGTCCCCCTCTAATGACTTTGAAGAAGGCTCTTTGTTCTTAGTTCTACTACCAGCTATACAAGGATGTCCTGGAATATCTTTGACACATATTTTTGGTTCATCTGGTAACAGGGACGGGTCTATATGGGTTTTTTGCTCCAGCAGACTATCAGTACCATTTTGCTTACTTGCAGAACTAGCTAAGTTTGAAGGTTCACTGGCTATTTGAGAAGATAACAAATTCTCATTTGTCAGCATTTGGGACAAGTCTGTAGCGTCTCCATTATTCCTATCTAAAGCAACAATGCCACTGTCATTGGCAAGAGTGCCTTCGCTTTGACTTGACTCTGAATCACACCCAACAACATTTTCCTTTCTTTTTGGCTTGTTTTTGTCATCATCTTTTTTAGTTTCATCCTTTTCCAAAAAGGTCTTCAATGGACTCAGCATACTGAAAACAGACTTTATAACTGAACTCTGATTCTGTGGAGCAGAGTCCCTTCCAAGAGTTTCTGTTGCATCCTCAAAGCTTAAACTTCCAGTTTTACTGCTGGTGTGCTCATTTTCAAAGGTTATGTCACATCTGCCAAAATCCTTATTGTCAACATTCTGAGAAGATAATGGAGACTGCATGGAAAGATCCTTCTCTGATACTGATTTGGCTCTGGGTCTAGATCCCAAATTAATTGTCTCTATTTGATTAAAAGTTTCTGTTTTCTCTGGAACTAAAGAACCCAGCTTTTCCATTGAGATTGTTAGATGCTTTTTACCTGAGCCCACCTTTTCTGTGAGTGAACTGAACAAAGAGCCAACAGCACCTTTCACTCCATTCAACTCAGGGAAACAAATGACCTTGTCTTTGTCATTCTTGACAATGGTTATAGGTGGTATTTGATCCTCAGGATTTTTCTGTTCTGCATTATCAAGAGTACTATTATGTGTAGGTATTTTTTTAGTTTTCGAAAGGGAACCAAATTTATTAATCTCCTCTTCCTTCTCTGCTAAATATTCTGAGACTGTTTCTACAAAACACTGAAGCTCATCCATTGTATCAATATAGTGGTCCTTGGGTTCCTCAATAGAAGAAGGGGCCATCTCTTCCACAGGGAACCCAGACAGATCTCCAAGTGTGTTTGCATAGCAATTCATCCTTTGTAAAGGGAATGCTGGATTTGCTACATAATGTTCTTTAGGAAAGCTTCCAATACGATGGACATTGGATGGATGGCATGTTGGTGACAGTAAACCTTCCTGCTTATCAGAAATGGGGGAATCCAGAAGTTCATCAGAAGTACTGCTAGTAGAATCTTCAAGAATATCCAATGGAATGAAATCAGTGACATGCTGTTTTAAGCCAGGTAACTTTTCATAATTCTTAAAACAACCAGGAAGATCATAATCATGACTTTCCAACTTAGTGGTCCCCATGCCACTATTAACCACAAGTGGATTCTTGTAGGATTGGGAAACTGGGTAATTTTGTTTCTTCTTTTCAATGTGGCAAAAGTTACAATTTTCACTATAAGGATATGTACTTTTGAAGTTAGTCTTAGTTCCTAATCTCTCATTATATTGTTTTCTTTCACTGTCTCCAAAATGACTGTACAGGGGTTTCTTTTTCCTTCTCCTATCGATTGTATTATATTTCTGAGGATATCTGGAGCAAACAGATGTTTCAAACGTAAGGTCAAAATTAAAGGCAGTAGAGAATTCTGTTTCTTGGCTTGGAGAGGGTATCTTTTTCCAATTCTTGTACTTTGGTTGTACTTTTTGTCTATAATATTTATCAGTTTTTGAAAGAGTTCTAATTTCCTTTAGTTCTGCTTCTTTTACATTTATGTTACTGTTTTCTAGAAACTCTTGTGATATTTTCCCCTCCATCTGCTTATATATACCCTCTTGCTCTTCATAATCAACATCAGAGAAAGCAGAAATAACCCTAATTCTGTCCATTTTAGCCTGCAGGCCTTGTCTGATGTAAAGGGATAAATTTGAGGGAATAGTAAGGCAAAGAAAAAAAGGAAAAATAGGGAAAAGAAATAAACAGATGAGATTTAGTGCACATTCAATGAGAAAACTAGAATTAGTAAAATTGTCAATTTGATAAAAAACATTTGGACTGAAAAAATACAAGGATATGTACATAATCTTAAATCAATATTATAGCACTGTAATCAAAGAGTATTTTCCATATCAAAAAAAGAACAGCTATAACAATAACTTTAAAATACTTCATTTGCTACCATGAGCTTTTTAGATCCTCTATTTTCTAAGAAAGAAACAAAATGAACATGTCTTATCAATATATAGTAGTAATTTTCAACCTTTCACATCTCATGGCACACATAAACTAATTACTAAAATTCTGCAGCACACCAAAAATATATTTTTTGCCAAACTAATAAAAAATTAGGTATAATTTTGATCCATTCACACAAGATGGCTATTGTTGTGTTGGCCATTGTCATTTTTTTATCTGACAATTTAAGGAGAAAGAGGTCTGTGAGCCTGACCAAATAGTCAGGTATTGCATGTTTTAAAAATTCTTGTAGCATACCAGTTGAAAATCACTGATATACAGGATGCATCTATGATGCCAAAGTTTAGAACTGTTAAGTATTCTATGAAAGTATATCAAAAGATTTCAAGAAACCTAAATTTGCTGATGAATTTGGGTCTGAAGAGAAGTCAAGCTATTAACCTGCTGAAATTAGATCTGAGGCAGTCAGCCAAGAATATGTTCAGACATATTTCTTTTAGAAAAAAAATATGTATACATAATGAAAATAATCTTTGACTTATTTTCAGAAGTCACGCCTTGTTACAGTACCAAAAAGGGCAAATTATTTAAAGGTTATAATTTGTTTTTTGTGTGCAATATAAGGCTGTATGCTTTAAGGATTACAGTGAAATTAATGTCTTTCTCTGCACTGATTACACTGGCAGAAGCGACAGGTGCAGCTTAGGTCAGTGAACACAGAAGACAGCAGACCTGTCCTTCGGTCAGACTAGACACGGCCTGTTTCCTGTGTGGTGAGGTGGGAGTGCAGAAAAGGCCTCCAGACCAGAAGCTTGTCAGCTCAGTGTTTTCTTTTTTAGATCTCACATCCAATGGTGTTTATTCAGGAAACAGAAACAAGATCAAAGTGGTAACTTAGTCACTAAAAATCTTTAAGAGTGAGACTGATAGACTTTTGACACCTCTTAACACTAGAAATACTTTGGCTACATATTATCTAACAAAGTTCAATTCTACTGTCAAACCTCAAATTCTTTATTTTTACATGATTTACATGCATTTCCCATTACTCATTAGGCAAAAGCCCATTTCATAGAGTGAGGAAATCAACTTTACCTATTTTTGTTTACATGCAGTTTCATTAATCTCCAGTGTCCTCAGAAACTCAAACTAAACTAATTCCAGTCTTGGAGAGGTCTTTATAGTTACAGCTTAAAATAAATAGACAGCCATGGCTATATTGAATGGAGCTATTTATTTTTACATTTCTAATTTGCTGGAAGGTACTGCAGACATGTTTGTTCCCTCAAGGATTTTAAATATTCCTCTTAAAAAACTTAAGAACTCAGACTATTTCCAAGAACTTGGTATTTATAGCAATATGAAAGTTTAAAAATTAATGGTAGTGATACAATTGCTTCAAAACTTTTTAAAGGAGGAATCACTTCAAACATTTAAGTTAAAAATGTATATAATAAACGTTCACTTAAAAGTCATATTAACTTTTCCTCTGCTAGAGATAATAAATTATTCACTTTTTAATCAAATTTATATGGGATCAATTTTTTAAAGATTTTTTTTAATTTGCAAATTAAAATACATCACTAATGCCCCTCAAAGTGTTATTATTATAGCACCAGCCCAGGAAATAAATGAAATGATAATAGGGTAATGATTAAGTTATCTGCAGTTGTCCAGCAGAGTATGTAGTCACTTAGGTTGATGTGCCATTATTACTACTGGCACTTAATGCTTGCAAATACACAGGAGAAAGAGGGCCAAAGTTTTTTTTCTATTATGTTTTTGTTCTTACAGTGGGAAAATATAAATAATTAAAGTCAAATAAATAACATATGCAAATATTTAACTTATTAACCATTAGGGAGTAGGGACCAACTTTGGTAGGACTCTTGGCACGTTTCTTTTTAGAATCAGATTGTAGAGTGAGAATTCTATCTGATGGTTGATATATGAAAAAATTTCATTGACAATATATTCAGTAATGACAGTATACTGAGACAGAATGATGTCTAGCAGGTAGACCACCATCTGAGGCTCAGGATAAATATTCACCAATTTGGTAAGGTGGGCAAAAAATGAGATCATCCTACGGTATGGCGAATGTCATAACCAAAAGTAAGAGCTAAACTGGAATGGCTTTTTAAAAACTAAACTCCATCGCTTCTTGGCCTTCTGGCAAAAACCAAGTGTAGTATCTGTTCTTATCATTTTAATATATGATATGTCCTCTATCCGAGAACATTATACTAAATGGATTTTTGGAGCTGGGAGATGGAATAGGAGCCTGCTCCATCCACTCCGCACATTGACCCGGTATTGCAGTACTTCCAGGAATGGCACACCAAGAAAATAAATAAATAAAATATAAAATAAATAAATAAAAACTAAACTCCAACGAATGAAATAACTGGTTCAGGAAAGGATCATCAGTGGCTGCTAAAGTCAATGCTAAAGGTTGTTGGGGAAACAGAATATTTACACAATCTCAGGTATCACCCCAGGTATACTTAATTACAAAGAGGAAAGGTAACTTTACATTGGAAAAAGCTGGTATATACAGATTTCTAAACCAAGAGAACAAACTAAACATCAGTAATGAGACAAAGTAATCTTATGTGAAGGAAATATCATCTACATAGTGTTTTTGCAAAAAATGTTTAATCTGATTCTAAACATGAAGAAACAATTGAAAGCAAAATTATTCTCAAAACTAGCCTGAACTCTGCAAAAAATGTAGTGTTTTAAAAGACCAAAAAAGAAAAGTAAGGACATTTTGTTAGATTATAGGAGACTATAGAACCAGGAATATCAAATATAATGCACCATGAACACTGACTAAATCCAAAGGGTTATCAAAACATTTAACATCTGTGATTTCCCTTTTTTGATCGTGGTGAACGGTGATTCAAAATCTCTAGGCTGGGCAGACACACAAACAGGCTTTCAGCCATCCACCCGCAGTGGGCACGCTATCGCCAGTTGAGAGTCATTAATCATAAAGAAAAATATTACAGATGGAAATATAAAAATGTGAATGTGTGGAAGAGAAAAAAGAAAAAAAGACTGAGAATCTCACAAAATGGCTGTAGCCTGGCCCGTCCTACTGCTACACGTCCATTACCACTCCGGTTAAAGTGCCCAAACCTGTGATGTCAGTTGTATCCCGGGATCTGCCTACTAGGAAAATAAAGTGCTTTGTTCCCAATACCTACCTGAGACCCCGCCTCTCTGGGTAATCGAGGTCATAATCATAACTCTGCACAGAGTCATTGCAAGAGTCCCGGCAACTGCCGTGAAGTAGCAGCTGCTGTGGCAATCGCACAGGCACAGGAAACTGGTGCGTGGAAGCGTTGGGCTGGGAAGTCGAATGGTATGGTGGTGGGATGCTGTTGCTGGTCTCACTGCGGTAGTCACTATCTCGGTCATCCACGGCACTATCAGGATCTTCAAAAGCTGTGGAACAAGCATAGTCAATCAAAGCACCCCAGCTTTATTTAGTTCTTCAGAATTTTTCTGCTTCTAACTTGGGGAACCACAAGCCTTGAGAACAAGAACAAACTGAACTGCACACAAGTCCAGTGGCTTCCAAGCCATGTACAGAGCTGTCTCAATGCCCACAAGTCTCTCTCCTTATCAAAAGAGATAGAACACTTGGTTTAATTTTAGTGCTGATTCTTGAAGGAGTTCCAAGTTGCATTTTCACAATGCAGAATTCTTTTGAATTGTACTTCTTTAGCTATCACACCCATAATGAAAACCTGCTTTTAAATGTCAAAAATAGATTCTGGCCTCTACTATCATTAAAAGCGGGCAAAAGGGAAAATAATAGCTTTTCCATACCTTTAAAAAGAGAAAATTTTGTTTAAAATTGACTTGGTGATTTCAGACTTTAAAGTACATGACTGAACCAAACAAACAGGTCCAACATCAGAAGCTGGTCCAGTAAATCAAGAAGGTCAAAGCCAAGGCTTAAAAGTCACCCAAAAGCTCCAGATGCAGCTGAGAAGAACAGCAGTTTTACTGTCTTGCTGCAACGTTGGATTTTTTAAATAATTCCCATCAAGCACTCACACCCGGGGTTCAGAATTCCTTTGGAAAGCATGGGCTGAAGGAGAGGAAAACACACGCACTGCCAGCGGGATCGTGCTAACAATGCAGCCAAGTTTATCTAACAGTAGTGACTACAGTTTCACAGAATTATTTTTGTTTTTCAGGCCAGCACCAAATGATGAACACAGTTATACAAACTGCTCCAAGCAAAAATGAAAATGTACAACACTGTGCTTGGAAAGGAAGCTCAACCTAATAGTGCTTTATATTGGGCTGGCCAAAAAGTCCATTGAGTTTTTTCCATAAAACAAAACACACATGTTTCATTTTCACTAATAACTATATTGATTTGGAGTATTTTGAGTATGTTGGCTATCTCCCCCTACTAGCTTCTAGCGGGTAGGGGCCAGGGATGCTGCTAAACATCTTCTAATGCATGAGACAGCCCCACAGCAAAGTATTATATTTGGCCAAAATGGCAATAGTACTGAGAAACTTCGCAAACCACTTTTGATGCATTCGATCAGTCACGGCACCTTCTCCATACACTGCACAAATCTTTTTCTTGCTTTTCAGTTGTGTTTTTATCTTTCTTGAAACAATAAAACATAATATGCCGAAAGTGTTGTGTATCTTCTTCCATCTTCAATATTAAAATGGCTGCACAAAAAATTCACCAATTTTGATAAGTTTTTTTAAATGCATGCTGATATGACAGCTGTCACAACACAATCTAATAAAATTGTTTTGAGTGAAGTTAAAGACAACTAAGCACTACTAGAGCCATTATATGGAAAAAGCTCAACGGATTTTTTGGATGATCCAATAGATTATTTTCCAAGGGACACCATCCCTGTAAAATAATGGTGTTATTCTGGTGTTATTCTGACACCATCCCCGTATGTGTCTAATTAACAAATTCTCATATGTCCTTTCTTGCCAAGCTCCCATTTGGCTCAAAATGAGGAAAAGGAACATGTATCATCCAAAAATTGGCATACATTTAGCAAACGATGGATTCCTCATATTAGTAATTAAAAAAAAAATCCTTGGTAGTAGTGTGGGAAATGGAAGCCTCTTGGAAGACAATAAGATTAGGCTCTTACAATTTCTCATGAAGGAGATAAGAACCTGCATCCATTCCTCGGAAATAGAAAAAAGTTAATGAACTGGGGGGGTGGGGAATCCAAACAGTAATGATAAAAGTTAGGGACAAAAAGAAAGTAACAGAAGAACAACCTTTTGGCTTCTACATTATACAACCTAGTAGATAACTCCATCAAAATAGACAGGGAGCACAAACATATGGGTTTTACACACAAGGAAGAAAAGTTGAACATTGAATTCCAGACAACACTTGTGGATACAGCAGGATGCAGGGGTAAGCATTTCCCACTTCAGTTTAAGAAAACATGTGAACATAAAAGAAGAGGATAGTGATCAGAACCGCAGGGGAAATATCAGTACCAGAAAGTGACTAACCTTCAAAATGGGCAGGAATAAGATTAGTCAAAAACTAGGGGATGCAAAGCATTCTGCTTACAAAGCATTCTGATCACACATTAGGAAAAAATTCTGGAGGCATTGGTTTTGACCCTTGATGCATCTGTTGTTCTGAAGACTGGAAAGGATCAAGAGATGAAAACCAGCATGCCTTTCAGATTTCATTCTCCCTGAACCCACAGAAGCAGTACATGTGGAAAAAGTCAGTACTGTATTATTCATGCATACAGATAAGGTGGGAGACACAACAAAGGAGACAAAGCAGAAAGTCCACTTAAATTTTGACAGGAGAAATATTAGCACATAACCCATAAAACCAAGACTGAGTTCCCAAAGAGAGAGCAGTGATAAACAAACCTACTGATTGTGAGGCCAGGGGAGGGTAGCTCAGCCAGAGGTAGGAATCCGTGATCCAGAGCCAGAAACTGAGTGGATGCACCCTTAGCTTATTATTGCATCTGACCTATTATTTCTAAGTGATGTTTTGCTTTTTAATTTTGCTAGGCGAAGGGGAGGAATATTCCAAAACTTTCCTAAAGGCTAACAGTATTTCTACACTAAAGAAATAAAGTACAAATATTAAGAAACAAAGTGCCTATGGAAAGAAAAGGTTGGGAGTAGAAGAAAAGAGAATATGAAAAGTGGGAGGAAACAGGAGGAAGGAAACATATGGAAGTGAAGTGAGATGAGAGAGAAAGAGAAAAATAGAAAATAAACTTGTAAAAGTAAACTGGGGAAAGAATTTAATCTGGGGCAAATATGGGCATAGGCACAGAGGAGGCACTCGAACAAAACTGAATGAGATACTGAACAATGAGGCTCTCCCATCTGTGGTGGTCCTGGATTGAGCCCCTGTCTTTAAATCCAGAGTACAGACAGAACTTTATGGCCAGACAAAAAAAAAGAAAAAAATTCAAACTTTTTCTTAGAGCTTAGGTATTTTTTTCTTTTTTGTTCTTTTTTGTTTGTGTTTATTTTTTTACTTTACTTTTATTGTTTACACTATTACAGATGTCCCCATTCCCCCCAATTTGCCCACCCTTGCTGCTCACCCTTCCCTCTGGCCATCACCACATTGTTGTCTGAATCTATGGGTCATGCATGTATGCTCTTTGGCTAATCCCTTCACCTTCTTTCATTAAGTTCCTCCCATACCTCCCTCTCCTTTGTCAGTTGGTTAAAACCTTAAGTTATCTGAGCTCTCTTAGCCTGCCTTTGAGCAGTTCCCTAGTGAAAATATTCAGGATTCAAATCACAGAAAATACATACTCCATGAGAAATTCCAGTGATAGGACAAAACTTGACCCCTCTTAGGACCTACTAGACACCTAATCAGTGGGACTCAACCAAGCCCCCTTGACAGCTGGATAACACAGCCAGTAGTGTCATCCCAGGGCTATATATCTTGCTGGAAAGACCTGGCTACCCACTCTCCAAGCTCTTAAACAAAGTTGGCCTCCAGCCTACTTGAGTTGCTTTAAGGAAAGTCAAACCATGTCCTCAGCCTCTTGTGCCCCACACGAAATCAATGACCTTTCCCAGAATGAAACACCTCCTTTTAGTCACTGCACTCCTTAGTGACTAAGCCAAAGGAACCAGACCATACCAAAGGAAAGGGTTTCCTACCCCAGGGGCTTATGGTACTACTTGTCTCTGGGAAAGAAAAATCAGGAGATCCTATCCGGACTATGTCTGGGATTTTGGATTGAAATTTATTAATATCATACACACAGTCTTCAAGAAACCAGCCTAAAAGGATGTAACACTTCACTGCAGATAACCATCTCCTGAGAT